GACAATACCGGACCCGCGGGGCAGGAAATCGCGGCCAACGAAGTTCTCCAATACCGATGACTTTCCCGCTGATTGTCCGCCAACGACAGCGATTTGTGGCAAATCTAATGCCATATTTACACCTGAAAATCAATCCAATTGTCATTACATATACACTATATTTTACACAACAATTTAACGCTAAAATGTCACACATTTTTATCAAAATCTGTTTATCAATAAATTTTTTTCTTGTTTAGTCTAATGTTAGACATAGTATTAGTCACTAATTTTCTCCATAATCCCAACCATTAAATACATTATTGAATATTGTATTTAACTAATCACTCATTATATCGCTATTTAAATAAAATACTTAATAAAGAAAATGTATGAATGAATTGCAAAATTAAAACTATAATTAAAACATTAATGTAATGAATACCACATATAGTGAACACACAGAAACACTGCAATCATAACAACTTCACCGGCAATTGATTAAACAAAACCAACCCATCGTTATTGCATAACATATACACACACTCTATGTAAATGTGTGTTCACTATAAAGGGGTTCACTATATAATGTGATTCAAACAAAAGCAAACAACAAAATGCGGACCCATTTGTGCGAAGGCGTCCTGCAATCGGTTCACTATTGGGATCAATCCCTCCATCCCTTCATTTCCGGCAACCATTTTGATGGCGTCCTCTTCGCTCACGAGGAAGTGATCCGACGGCCGATCGATATATTGCTTATGATTTTCCTTATATTATAACACAATTAAAAATATATATTAAAAACTACTCCAAAACCAAACGTCAGACAAAAGCGATCATTGAATGTATAGATCAATAAATTGAGTGCTAATTAAATGACAATCACATAAACCAATGGATGTTTGCATTCAATGTTCAAATTGTATAACAATTTACAAATTATAAGTGTTTTGAATGCAATGTTTTTGTGACAAACAATTTATTGATTTTTGTGTTCAGTTATGACTCGCAATACACAACACTGTATAACACATACAACTCATACAAACCGTTCACAACATAACGACTAATGCTTTGCAGAGAGGCGTCAATACATCCAATCAATTATGTTCTCTAACATTGCACTCCATATGTGACACAACTGCTCGCAAACAACGTTACTATTTTACACATTATTACTGTCCCCCATATAAATGTATTTATTAGTTTTAAACTTGCAAATTATTTCTAAACTTATTTTTATTTTTAAACATGTTAACTATTGTTTAAAATTTATTATGAATGTTTCAACATAAAACATCTATGAGTATTTAAGTAAATTATTAATTAGTTGCTAAAACCCCATCCTATATATAAGTTTGTACGCTTATATTGTTTAAAGTTATCACGATTTCGTTATTATACTGTACAAGAATTACGTAATCTCGTAGAATGATCATGATAATACAATAAATGTTATCATGTATTTTGCCCAGGAACAATCACATTTTTCAATACCATTCAGTTTTTTATAACTGGTTTTATATTGTTTTG